AGAGAATTCATGTGATATAACACTCTCCCCGTTGCTCTCTTTCTCTCTCTCTCTCTCTCTCTCTCTCTCTCTCTTAAAAATTAAATAACGGTATGTATGTTACTGCCCAACTGTATAACACCTGTTAGTCAAGTTACCTACATGTGGATAGCCCTGCACTTCAATTGCGTTCGTAATACTCTCTCTCGCTCTCGCTCTCTCGCTTTGAAAACTAGTGGTTAAACGAGTGAATCTATTACACTATATAGGGGTTCACTATTCGGTTCACTTACGATATAAACCAATTATATAACACTATTATTATACGTGTATTATTTATAAAAAATAGTTAAACAATATGATTGTTGTCATATAAAGTACATAATATGGAAAATTACTTAAAAATTTATATCCAATTACAAACCAAGTAATCAAATAATTAACAATTATAATTAATAAATATTTTACTTTAAATTTTAAAACAATTAGATTTGCTATTATAAACCCAGTTATGCTACAGCATACTGTGTATTTTATTAATTAATGTGTAATTAAATTAAAATGTTAATTTTTAATTAAATTTACTCATATTTGAACACAGATTATTGATTTGCAGAAATGTAGGAATTTATTGTTAAGATCAGTTAAAATTTACAATACATAATTGGTGTAATTCACACACAAATAAATGTCTATTTACAATTACATATTAATTAATATTTACTACAGTATAACAAATAATAATTTAATTGCAATAATTTCTATTCATAGCATTTAAAACAACAAAACAAAATAAATAAATAAAAACTGTATGGTTTGAAGTTTTTGTGGTTATACAGTGAATAGGATAATAATATGAGAATTACCCTGTTAAATGGTAAAGGGGGAGGGGGTGTGTTGGGTGAGGGGTTGTAATTACTCAAACTTTTCCATGTGATACATATCGCCCAACAGTTTCTCGACCGGTATTTCGCCGATAGTCTCCTTAAAAAACAGTTTCTCCACATTATTGGCGGCGATCGCCCGAAGACAGGGCATCAGTAACAGTAGGCGCCCGAAACGGGTCGGCTGTCGGGGGTACTTATGGCGCACGTAGTCGCCCAAAATGCACTGAGCTTGGTCCTGTAGCATCTCCACCGGCTGCACATCGCACAGGCCTATCGTCTCTATAAATATATTAATTCATAAAAATGTACTTTAATTTAAATGTAACAGTTGCTGTTAGAGAGAGTCTACTGTAAGCGTATGTCTGTCTGAGAGAGAGAGAGAGAGAGAGAGAGAGAGAGAGAGAGAGAGAGAGAGAGAGAGAGAGAGAGAGAG